TGCTGCAGATGTATCCATTGAGAGTAAAGCTTTTCTTTTTTGTTTTGGGGGTTTTGTTTTGTTGTTGTTGTTGGGTTTTTTTGTTTGTTTGTTTGTTTTGGTTTTTCGAGACAGGGTTTCTCTGAGTAGCTTTGCGCCTTTCCTGGAACTCACTTGGTAGCCCAGGCTGGCCTCGAACTCACAGAGATCCGCCTGGCTCTGCCTCCCGAGTGCTGGGATTAAAGGCGTGCGCCAACACCGCCCGGCTTGTTGTTTTGTTGTTGTTTTAAAGACAGTGTCTCTCTATGTAGTCCTGCTGCCCTGAAACTTCCTATGTAGACCAGGCTGTCCTCAAACTTGCAAAGATCCTCCTACCCCTGCCTCCCAAGTGCTGGCATTAAAGGTGTGTGCCACCACACTCAGCGGGAATAAAGCTTTTCTAAAAGGTATTTTAGTGTATGTGTGTTGCATGCTTGTGTGGGCACAGGTTCACTGACCTGTGAATGTTTTTGAAGAGGCCATGAGATGTAGACTTCAGGACTCTTCCCCAATTGCTTTCTACCCCCACCCTCACCCCCCACCCTAACACACTATGTAGCTCTGGCTGGCCTGGAACTCTCTACATAGACCAGGCTGGCCTCAATCACATACATATCTGCTTGCTTCTACCTTCTGAGTGCTGGGATTAAAGATATGCGTCACCATGCCAGGTTTTCTCCACCTTGTTTTTCAAGAGCTTTCTCACTCAACCTAAAGCCCAGTTTCAGGCAGGCTGGCTGGCGAGTGAGCACCAGGGATTCACCTGTTGCCGCCACCTCCTAACTCCCAATTCTGGGGTTACAGGTCCATACCAACTGGCCCAATTTTAGGGGGAAGTCAGGGGTGAACCTGGGTCCTTGTGCTTGCATAGAAAGCACTGTGCCCACCAAGCCGTCTCCCCAACCCCTAAAGACAGTTTGTTCTTTTAAACGAATCCATACAATCGACAAAACACATTTAGAGATTACATCATTTTATTTTTCGGTTTTTTCTTCTCCAGATGCAATCTCAGCTCTGTCTTTCTTACACTTGAATTCTCTATTTACTGAAAAACACTATTGAAGAGAGATCAACTAAATGAAATACAGCTACATGGAGGAAAAAGAAACCATAGCATCAAGCAATTGTAGTACTAGCAAGAAAAAAAAAAACAAAACTTCAAAAAAGCAACTGCCAAATTTCCTGAATAAATAATAATTCAGATTTCCTTGGATGAAAATGCAAATATTGGTGATAAAGAGATGACTCGGTGGTTAAAAAGCAGCAGCTGTTCTTGCAAAGTGTCAGAGTTCCACTCTCAGCACCCAGTTCATGGTTCACGACTTGTGTAACCTGAGAGCCAAGGCCCTCTTCCGGCCTCTGCTGCACATACATATGAGTGAAGAAAACACTTAAATATATAAAAAATATTTTTAAAGAAAATGTAAATGTTTACCTGTCTCAAAAGAACAAAAAATCCTAGAGGGCTGTCTTCAAATGAAAAGAAATAGTGCATTTTTTATATTCAGAATTTTATTCTCCGCGTGCACGCGCATGCGTGTGTGCGTGCGTGGTGTGTGTGTGTGTGTGTGTGTGTGTGTTGGTACACCTGTGAGGAGGTCAAAGGACAACTTGCCAGAGTACTTTCTATCCTACTGTGAGGGTTCCAGGGATCCAACTCAAGATGCTCGGGCATGGTGGCAGGAACCTTTCCCCATAGAGACATACCCCTGACACTCAGAATTAATTTTAATCTAGCCAGGATATACAGACCTGATCCTTTATACTAATCAACATATACCTTGTTTTTTACTAAAGCACACTGGAAACATCACCTTATAAATAGTAACAAAAGTTAACCTTGAAGCTGAGAAAAATCATATATGAACTAAAGCTAACAGATATTTATCTCAAAAGGCACCTGAAGTATCTCAAGGGTTCCCAGGTTGCAACTCCAGGGCCAATCAGTTCTACAAATATTTACTGAACAACTACTACTTGCTAGGCACCATGCAGAAGTAAAAACAGAGCAAGTTATCTGCTTATGAGACACTTTACAGCCGGACAAACTCCCGGAGTCAAAACTTCGTGCCTTGAGAAACCAGTTTGTGCGTGTGTGCGTCTCTTGTGTGTGGCCTATATTTTAATAAAGTGCTCCAGATTATTTCTACACCCTGGCTAGTTAGTGGCTTGGGAGGGAAAAAAAAAAAAAAAAAGGCTGCTCCAGCCAGGCAAAGTAAATTTTGCTCAGCATCCTTCACTCTGACAGACACACCCAAACATTGCTAAGCCCAGGTGGACCTAAAGCTTTCCAGGATCTGTCGGTGATGAGGCACCAACCACCTTGTCGCCTTCTAGGAACGGAACGCCCACTCCCTACCAACACCACCCGGGATGGCAACACCTGAGCCTCCCAGCAGCTGCATTCTACAGCCACGGTGGGCTCGGGCCCCGTCCCCCACCCCACCGCACCCCACCCCCGCCCTGCTCCGAGGGGGCGGGGTCGAGGAAGAGGAGGTGCGGACCGAAGGTGCCCACTGCATTCCAAGCCCCTGGCGCAGGCACGCACAGCCGTGGAAACTGAGGCAGGCGGGCAGATGACGGACCGGGTCTGCCTGTATGGTTCGCGGCGGGGATCGAACCCCGAGGAGCAGGAGAGGGTTGGGGGGCTCTGCCTCCAAGTCAGTCACCCGTCCGCCCCCGCCGAGGCCCGGCCCGGCTTGCACCGACGGAGTTTCACAAAGAAAGTCTCCCGGCCCGCGCCCCGCTGACACTCACCGGCGCCGGCGGAGACTCCGGCTCCCGCCGCCTGCGGCTCCGCGCCGAGGCCGGCTCGGGCGCCAGCGTCAGCGGCTGTTCCATCCCCGCGGGGCCCGTCCGCGTCCGCCTAGAGCTAACGGTCCCGCCAGCTTAGGCGCGCGCCCCGCTCCCGCGCGCCATGTTCCCGCCGTGCCGCGCGCCGCCGAGCGCCCCCCCAACCCCCGCGCCCGCCGCGCCCTCAACGCGCACGCGCGCGCCTGCCGAGCCAGCTCGCACCGCGCAAGCGCGTGCCCGGCCCTGAGCCCTCCCGGAGCGAGCCCGGGGGGTCGCTGTTCCGGGCTCCGAGCAGCCGCCCGCCGCACTGCGGACCACCCGGAGGGCACCACGCGGGGCCGGGGCAAGTGAAGGCGCGCCTGTGTGGGGGTGACACGGTGAACGCTGGCGTCCCAGGCCCGCATCAGTGCTCTCCCTCGTCCAGTTAGGATGGAATCTTCAGAAGCCCACCTCCTGCATCCCAGGACTCGGCGGCTGGTCCTCACTAGGTGGTTCCCTGGAGGCGAGACCTAGTGTTTGCAGCGATTAAGAACCGAGAGATCCCTAGAAAAGATGCAACGTCTAGTCTCCTTAAAAACCATGTTTTTCTAGGCGGTGGTGGCGCACGCCTTTAATTCCAGCACTCGGGAGGCAGAGGCAGGCGGATCTCTTTGAGTTCGAGGCCAGCCGGGCCTACAGAGCGAGTTCCAGGACAATCAGGACTATACAGAGAAACCCTGTCTCGAAAACCAAAAAGAATATTGTGGGGCTCTGGCTGCTCTTCCAGAGGACCCGTGTTCAACCCCCAGCACCCACATGACAATTGTCTGTAACTCCAGTTCCAGGGGACCTGACACTCTCACACATACGTGCAGGCAAAACACCAATGCACATAAAATAATAGTAATAGTAATGAACACATAATGCCTGGCACACACTAGGCTCTCCCAGGCTCGCAGGTGCTAATTCCTGCTGTATCCTTCCAAAGTGCTCACAAATGATGATGATGATGATGAAGAAGAAGAAGAAGAAGAAGAAGAAGAAGAAGAAGAAGAAGAAGAAGAACTCAGTTTTCAAGCCCTGTGGTGTAATTAGCAGGAAGGGGTTCACCCAACCATTCTTCTCACAGGTCTCTCTGCCACAGACCTCTGGAGAAAACCCAAAAGCTAACAGAATAGCAGAGAACATTTCCCCTACCGGTAAAGAATCTCTTGGAATTTTTCCCCCCACTTTGTAGACCTGGATGGCCTCGAACTATCTCCTGGCATGTGCCACTGCCTGGATACTCTTGGAATTTTTATGTAGCTGTTTGTCCCTCTGATCTTTTCCACATACAAGTGACACAAATAACCCGGAGTAAACAAAAAAGGGAAAATGCCTGATCATATAACTGAGGTCCTGGGATGGTATCTCACTTTTAAGCATAGCTGCTCCTGGGGTGATCTTATCTGCACCTGGATCAACTTGTTAATCAAATATGCCTCAAGTCTTCAATCTCTGATTGCTTCCTTCTCATGTAGTTCTTTCCATGTAGGGACCCAAGTGCAACTAGCTCCCAACTACTGAAGAAAAAGATTCCTAGTGTCAGGACCGAAGGACACTGGGGTCAAAAGCCATTCCAGGGGTTGGGGATTTAGCTCAGTGGTAGAGCGCTTGCCTAGCAAGCACAAGGCTCTGGGTTTGGTCCTCAGCTCCAAAAAAAAAAGAAAGAAAAGCTATTCCAGATGCCTATTAGAATACCAAAGCACATGTTGGCCCCACCAGGCTCTCAGTGTAACAACTACCTATGGCTCTTCTCACCACGCCCCCTACCCTAAACTTCTCCAGCTGAGCGGCTTCCCTTCCCCCAGCTTCTCATTCCTACACAACCCTGCCACAACTCTAATGAACCTCTTTTGTCTTCTTTCGTTTCATTGCCTTTAATATTCAAGCCACTCCAATTCCCATTAGCCCTCAGCACTAGGCCTGCCAAACCTCAGACACTCACAAGGAACAGAGCTGTGTGCCCACCTTCACTGTCCTGTCCAGGTAAAGAGCTTCTGAAGCACAGTGCTCAATTGATAGCCTGGCCAGCAAACTACAGAGTGGTCTATCACCAACCAAGTTAGTTATAATGGGTCAGAAACAGAGAAGTTGCTATTAGAACTGCCTGTGTTCCTGTGTATAGTGAGCACATACCCCGGTTACGGGGGAGGAATAATCAGTCTTGATTCAGACTTGGTATAACACTCATTTATTCACACAATAAGATTACAAGCAATATTTATCCCGTCTTCCAAAAAGAAGCAGGAGTACCTCTCCGGGTATACAGGTCCGGACTCGACACATCTGTTCCTCTGGATCTTGGGTCAGCCTGCGCTGGGGACAGGCTCTCACGTCTCTGGCGGAAGAGAGTTGTCTCACGCGAGGGTCTGACAAGCTCTGTTGGTCGTGTCTGAGGCTTCATCTTTTATATTCTTTTCTGGCTAGGTTTCTAGTCTTACCCCTACTTCCACACATAGCTTATAGCTTGTCACTACTCCATTTGTGGTTTACTTACGTCATTCTAACCAGGGTTGTTCACCCTAGGTCTTACATGATCCTTACACTGTGGCTACTAACCCCAGCCATAGATAGTCCTGAAACAAATTCCACTTTTTATGAGTAAAGTATGGGCCACTGTTGTTGGTTATTTTAACTCTTTACTCTTTTGAGGGGCCTGCCACCCAGCTCCCAAATAAATCACACATGGAGGCTTATTCTTAATTATAAATGTCCGGCCTTAGCTTGGCTTGTTTCTTGCCAGCTTTTCTTAAATTATCCTGTCTACCTTTTGCCTCTGGGCTTTTTCCTTTCCTTCCTTGTGTATATCTTACTTTCACTCTTACTCTGTGGCTGGTTAGGTGGCTGGCCCTTAGCATCCTCCTCTCCTTGTTTTCTTGCTTTTTCTTCTTTCCCTCCTAGATTTCTCCTATTTATTCTCTGCCCACCAGCCCCGCCTATCCTTTCTCCTGCCTCACTATTGGCCATTCAGCTCTTTTTTAGACCATCAGGTGTTTTAGACAGGCAAAGTAACACAGCTTCACAGAGTTAAACAAATGCAACATAAAAGAATGCAACACATCTTTGCACCATTAAACAAATGTTCCACAGCATAAACAAATGTAACACATCTTAAAATAATATTCTAAGGCCACCAACAATGTTTCAATTTTTACATGTCAAAGACCTGTCACTGCAACCAGACTTATGGGATACAAAAACTGTTCTTTACTTTTGGCAGTTCAGACTTCATAGTCAAAGGAAAGTCCTTAAGTTCAGAGCACTTGCTGCTTTTGCTGAGATCTTGGGTTCACATCCCAGAGTCTACATGATTATTCAATCATTTGTAACTTCAGTTCCAGAGGCTTCAATGATCTCTTCTGTACACCAGGGGCACCAGGCACCCACACAGTGTACATACATGCAAGCAGAACTCACTTACATAAAAAAATAAATCTTAAAAAAAAAATCTTTTTAGACAGTCTCTTGTGATTCTGTCGGTTTGAGTCAACATCCTTTAATAAAAATCCCCTAATAATATAAGTATGACTTAATAAATTACAAGAGACAAAAAAACATTTGTTTTACAGTCAGAAAGACGTAGGTTGGTACCAACCTTTCTCCTTCCTCCTGCTTCTGATTTTATGTGTATGACTGTTTTGCTTGCATGTATATCTGTGAACCACTTGTATGCCTGGTGCCCACAGAAGCCAGAGGGTGCCAGAGGCCCTAGAACTCCCAGCCAACTACAGGGTTTCCAGGGGAGCTCCCAGCCAACCATGGGGTTAACAGGCAACTCACACACTATTGTGTTACACAGGTTGGAATTATTAAATGTCCCAAACTTAAAATGGAGTTACAATTTTGAGTCACTGAGGAACCTGCCTGACTCCATTTTGAAGGGGAGTCATTATGCTTTATTACTAAAAATAAGTTTCTATTTACTGTAAGAGCTGAATTGCTGGGGACTGGAGAGATGGCTCAGAGGTTAAGATCACTGGCTGTTCTTCCAGAGGTCCTGAGTTCAATTCCCAGCAACCACATGGTGGCTCACAACTATCAATAATGAGATCTGGCACCCTCTTCTGGCCTGCAGGCATACACACAGGCAGAACATTGTATACACAGTAAATAAATGTTTTTGGTTTTTTGTTTTTTTTTTTTTTAAAAAAGCTGAATTGCTGTTTTTAAATTTAAGGAACCTGACCTTACCCCAACCGATGACCTTGACTTGTTTTTAAGACTACCCCTACCCTTCCCAACCCTCCCAGAGCCATCTCTAATCACATGGTGACCACAGGATGTCTTTTTTGAGATTTTTTTCTGCATTTCCTTCTTGCCCCATTGTCTCTCTTCTGTAAACCTGCTTTGCAGCTACTTGTGATTTCACTCTTTAAAAGGGGCCCAAGAAATGGATTCAGGGCTGCTCTCTTTAATCAGACTTAGAAGGCAGTCACTGGCCAGCTCGGCTCTTGAGTGCACCCCAATAAAAATCAACCTTGCTTCAAGTTTGGCTCAAACTGTGGTAGTGGTCTTACTCTCGCCAGTGGGATTAACACCACCATGTGGGTACTGAGAATTGAACCCAAGTCCTGTGGAAGAGCAGCCAATGCTCTTAACCACCATAGATGTCTCTAGCTCCTACCTTACTTCTCCACCTTCACCTCTACCACAAGGACAGCTGAAGGACCTAACTTAAAGAAACATTGGATCACCTTAAAATTTGGGGGAAAATTAATCTCATTGAAGCCCCAAGAGTTCAGAGATATAAACTGTATAGATAAAGGATAACTTCTCTGTTTCATTTGTTTTTGAGACAAGAGTCTCACTAACAGCTCAGGCTGCCCTCGAACTCACACTCTTGCTGTTTCTGCTTCTCAAGGTCTGGGATGGATTCCAGAAGTGTGAAATCAGACTAAAAGACACAAGGAGCAACATGCCTGCCATCACATGGCTCCTTGGCAGGCAGTCACCACAAATCACCCAATATCACCGTGTCCTTTTCTTTCTAAGGGACCTAGACAGGTGTTGTGTGTGTGGACAGTTTCTCTGTGTAGCCCTGGCTGACCTGGAACTCGCTCTGTAGACCAGGCTGGCCTCAAACTCAGATGTGTGCACCACCCCGAGAGGCTGAGACTTTAAGGGACCTTTACAATTTGTATTCAGATCATACAAACTAAAACCAGAGTGACATCCTGAGAAGCCGGACTGCTGACAACAGTCAAGGTGAAGATCCAGATGAAAGGCACACAACAACTTCTAACATTGTTTTAGAATTTTTTTTTTAATGTTTGTGTGTGTCTGTGTGCAAGAACAGATGTGTGGGTACCCACAGAAGCCAGAACTGTAGTTACATGGGTGTTGGGAACTGAACCTCAGTCCTCTACAGGAGCGCTCTTAACCACTAAACCATCTCTCCACACAGCCCCCTAACAATTTTTTTTTTTTTTTTAAGAAAAGGAAAGGTATTCATCTAAAGTGCTATTCATGCTATTCATAGGTCAGTTTCCACAAGGTTTTTAATTGTGTATCAGCGATGGAAAAACAACTGTTCCCATCATTAAAATACAGACTATATTTAAAAAAATATATATATAGTCTTTAAAAAAAAAGACTTCAAGGGTAGAAAAGACAATCGCAGTGTGAAAGGAAGCACATTTCTTTTTTTCTTTTTTCTTTTTTTTCTTTTTTTTTAAGGTTTTTCGAGACAGGGTCTCTGTGTAACAACTCTGACTGTCCTGGAACTCACTCTGTAGACCAGGCTGGCCTCAAACTCACAGAGCTCCACCTGGCTCTGCCTCCCGAGTGCTAGGATTAAAGGCTTGCGTCACCACCGCGGCCCAACTGAAAGCACATTTCTTTTACATTCTTTTACGTTCTAACTAGTGCATCACACACAGCCAGGCGCTTTGTGCTCTCAGCATCCTCCACTTCCCGTTCCAGGGGCCGCTTTCGACTAGAAGGCTGGAAATAAAGCAAAGGGAAAAGTATTCAAAAGAAAAGCATGGCTTCTATGAAAACTCCTGACAGCAGTAAACTGGGGGCATGTCATGGGAAATGGTAAGAACCAAGAATCACTAGGTTTTTTGTTTGCTTGTTTTATTGGTTTTTTTTCCAAGACAGGGTTTCTCTGTGTAGCTTTGCACCTTTCCTGGATCTCGCTCAGTAGACCAGGCTGGCCTTGAACTCAGAGATCCACCTGGCTCTGCCTCCCGGGTACTGGGATTAAAGGTGTGCGCCACCACCGCCCGGCAAGAATCACTAGTTGTCATGACAACTGAACCCTAACACACCTCTGATATCAAGATGGGTATCTACTCTGCCTGGTGATTTCTAACCACTACTGTATGTATGTACAGTTCTTTATTTTTCGTTTGTTTGTTGTTGTTTGTGTTTTGTTTTGCCTTACAGTGATACAAAAGCAAATTCAAATCTGGATCTTTCCCCTGTCTAGCAAACTTGTGGGTGAGGCATGACTTAAGGCAGCCAGAGCTCCCAGCCAAGCACGGGGTTAGGAGTACCAGGGGAGCTCACACATTCCATTGTGCTACAGGGGTTAGAATTATTAAAGGAATTCCTTATTTAAAATGCCTCCAACTTAAGATGAGTTCCTCAGGATGTGTGATCACACTGTAAGCTGAAGAACATCTAAATACAGACAACAGGTAATACCAACAGCTTCTCTTGGTCACTGTCTCCTGACACTGTCGAGCTGTAGCTCAGTGTTAAAGGTGTTTACCACGCACTAAGGTTCTGGTTCAACCCTCAGCACAGAGTGTGTAGGATACCTAATCTCTCTCACAGTCTCAAGTTTTTCTGTTTTATGGAAACAACAATCTTTTCTGCTACAGTTTATTTTCCTATTTATAAGACCAAGAGAGCTCAGTGAGGAAAACAAAACAGGACAGGAATAAACAAGCATACTAGTGTAAACATACAAAGAACTCCAAAAGAATAAAACTGCAATCAAGAAATCACAACAAAACCCATTATTTTACTCACTCACAACAACAACAACAAAAATATTTTAAAAGAGAAAACCATCATAAACTACTTGCCCAAGTTTTACATTTTCCAAAATTTAAATTTGTGCCTCTAACAGGATATTCCATCTTGCCATGCAAAAGACCTTTGGACTAAGAAGCTTTTCATCTACTGCTCCAATTCGTTCAACACATCCTGCATTATTACACCTCCCAGGGCTGCAGGAACACATCAAAACAAAGAGTAGAAACACTGGCTCGGGCTGGAGGGGTGGAAGGTGTGCCTAAACAGCATAAGGTCCCAGGTTCAATCCCAAGCATGGCCAGCAAGTAGAAAATAAGTATCTACTGCACTATACTTGTAGGGTAGAGTCACACTATGTAGACCAAGCTGGCCCATGACTCCCAATCCTCCTGCCTCTGTTGAGATTCAATGCCCGGTCTCAGCCTCCTTCCTAAGTGCTGAGAATACATGTGTGGGTCACCAAGCCTATCATTAAGCACCTGCCACCACACAGAATTGTCAGTCATCAGACTTGCTCATCAGCAATTTAATTCTAGGATACAGTACAGTCATCAAAATACCTGGGCGGGAGTCAGGGGCAGGGCCATCAAATTCTTTTCCTGAGCCAGAAGTAGATCCTGAAATTTTTTCTTCATGTATTCATCCTGTGAAGAGATCCAAAGGCATAGACAGGCTGCACATGAGGAGTAGCAAGCTCCTAGAGTGACAGGTAAATGCTCAAGGCTGCCATCCTGACGGCAAACCTCATGCATTTGCTGAAATCTCCTTAACGAAGAGACCATGACTGTTCACTTCTGCCTTCTCAGAACAGCCAGTGCTTAGTCAGCATTGGCTAAAACAAACTCAAGGGTCATAGGTTCTCAGTTGACCAGACAGCCAGGCCCCTAGTTGTGGTTCAGAACTAACCCTAACCCCTGAGTAGTCAAGAGGCCACAGTGCAGAGTTGAAACTGTGCCACCCTGAGTGCTCACAGAACCAAACCCACCCCTCCTGCCACAAATATTGCCAATGACATGTAAACAGCTAACCCAGCACCCTAGGAAAGTCACACAGCAAGTGCTAAGCAAGTTGACAGAAAGACCTCAAGCCTACAAAACCTCAGGCCCACATCTCATGAGAAAAGATGGTAATAAACAGGACCAAACATCACAGGTATTCTGGGTGCACGAGGGAGATGTGTAACAAGGGTGGCATCTCAAAGGGAACTCTTCCCCAATGTGCATAACTTGCTGCCACCTCCCTCAAGGTAAAATCCTGCAGGGTCCAAGGACTGGCATGCAGAAGCCATGAGAGGTAGCCTGGCACTGCTCCCCATTTTCAGAAACATAAAACAGAATCTATCAATAAAAAAGATGGACTCCTGGTGGAGGCTGGAGAGGTGCTCAGAGGTTAAGAATATGTACTGCACTTGGAGCAGACCCGAGTTTGGTTCATAGCACCCACGTCAAGCACCTACAATTCCCATACCAGAGGATCTAACCCCTCTTCTGTACGCCTCAGGCACTGCACTCACACATCACACACGCACACACCCACAGAGTCTCAGGCCTTGAGTCACAGAGATCTGCCTTCACCTGCCTCTTCCTGAGTGCTGGGATTCCTTTATCTCCGCACGCAGGAGGCACAGGCAGGTGGATTTTTTGTGTCTGAAGTCTTTCTGATCAACGGAATGAGCTCTGGTCTGTTTAGACTTTTGTCAACATCACACATACTGGGGTCATCTTGGAAGAGGGGATCTCAGTTAGGGAATGGCCTCCATAAGATTAACCCATGAGCACACGTGCAGAGCATTTTCTTTTTTAATGACTGAGATGGGAAGACAAAAACAAAAAGCAAAAAACAAACCCACCCACCCCTAGACAGGTGGTCCTGGGTTGTATAAGAAAGCAAGCTAGCAAGCCCTGGAGAGCAAGCCAGTAAGCAACACCTCTCCAGTCTCTGCTTCAGTTCCTGCCTTCAGGATCTTGCCTTGAGCTCCTGCCCTGACCTCCCTCAGTGACTGACTGTGATGTGTAAAACGAAATAAACCCTCTCCTCCACGTTGGCTTAGTCAGTGTTTATCACAGGAGCACAGAAACCAAACTAGAACAGAAGTAATGGGCAGAGAACACAGACCCAGATTTCAAAGCCCCGTGTTCTTTCCCACCACAGTTTTCTACCTCTACCATGGCGTCCAGGAGGAAAGGCTTCCAACATGAGCAATTTTGTGGAGGCGGGAAATTCCGAAGACCAAAAGATGAATAATGAGTTCCTCTCTATCTACTGACAGGAAGCAGCAGCTGCTGGCATCCCTCTCTTACTAGTTACTCTGAGTGGCTCTCAGAGTACCTGTCTTGAGAGCACCAACCTCATACACACATCTCCTGAAGTGCACCTGCTCTACGACCACTTGAATTGCACTGCTCTGTAGACCATGGTGCCTAACACTGTTTGAAACATGAACTCACTACCTGTGCTCTGAAGGAATGAATTTGAGAACAAATAAAACCACAATGGAATGCCCCTGTGCTTTAGATAAGTGCTCCTAAGTCCTGTGTATTAAACACTTATCTCCAAGAGTGCTGCTGGAGGATGTGGAGCCTTCAGAGGCAGAGACCACTGGGAAGAAGTTGTATTATTGGATGATACCCTAGAAGGAAAATTTGGACCTCCTCCTCTTCCTTTTTAAAATCTTAGTGTGTATGCACAGCTTGGGCACTGGCACTCACATGTGCACATACACACACACACACACACACACACACACACACAAACAATTAAAACAAATCTTACCATGTCTTCCCCAGGCATACAGACATATATAGCATGCATGTGAAGGTCAGATGACAACCCTGGATGTTAATTCTCACCTTCCATCTTGCTTAAGAAAAGAGTCTCCTGTTGTTCATCCTTGTGTACAGTCAAGCTAACTGGACTATGAGCTACAGGGGAGCCTGCACCCCCAACCTCTCAGATTCTCATGTTTGCCACTGGCCATCTCCTCAGAGCTTCTTCCTCTCTTTTCTCACATCAGTCATGGACTAAACCCCCCAAAACACCTCTCCTCTTTATGAACTGGCTTCTCTCAGTGTGTCACAGTAACAGAAAGCTAATTAACACGAATATCCCTCTCCTAGACATTGTTTGGTGTGGCCAGAATGACCTGAGGCTATGTGCATCATATTCACAAGCTATCAGTCAAGAGTACAATGAAAATGAATCTCTGCCGAGCGGTGGTGGCACATGCCTTTAATCCCAGCACTCGGGAGGCAGAGCCAGGCAGATCTCTGTGAGTTAGAGGCCAGCCTGGTCTACGGAGCGAGATCCAGGACAGGCACCAAAACTACACAGAGAAACCCTGTCTCGAAAAACCAAAAAAAAAAAAGAAAATGAATCTCAACATTAGCACAAGTTACAAGATTTATCTGTAAATCTGTGAGAAGTCTACATCCAAAAATATTAAGGCAAGCAGGAAGGATTCTTCTATTTTTTTTTTTTTTTTTTTTTTTTTTCGTTTTTCGAGACAGGGTTTCTCTGTGTAGCTTTGCGCCTTTCCTGGGACTCGCTTGGTAGCCCAGGCTGGCCTCGAACTCACAGAGATCCACCTGGCTCTGCCTCCCGAGTGCTGGGATTAAAGGCGTGCGCCACCACCGCCCGGCCTTCTTCTATTTTATTAAAAGTGAAATTGAGAGAGTTGGAGAGATGGCTCAGAGGTTAAGAGCACTGGCTGCTCTTTCAGAGGTCCTGAGTTCAATTCCCAGCAACCACATGGTGGCTCACAACCATCTATAATGAGATCTAGTGCCCTCTTCTGGCAGGCAGGCATATGTGCTGGCAGAACACTGTAAGCACAATAAATAAATATTTTTTTAAAACGTGAAATAAGGTGGGTGAAGAATATCCCCCCACTGGATATAGCTAATGACAAAGCAGAGAGAAGGATTCATAGTCCCCCAAACCATGAGACTTTTCCCGCAAGTCCAAGCTTATCATCATTAGCAGACATTTAGATAGCCCATCTGTTCCCTCGCCCTCCTCATCCAGAGCCCACGATGATACTTCAAGCAAAAGGCTGAGAAGAGTCTTCATATGAGACTGGGGCAGAGCTGAGCTTCACCTTTTCTTGCTTGTGAATAACAGTTTTCTTTTGAGACAAGAAGTACAAACAAAATGGGCTACACTGACTCATCCATCTCAGGCAAATACAAACCCCGTTGCTAGGCCTAACTGGCCAGCCACAGGCTTTTTTTTTCCAAAGCTAACAGAGAAAGCCAACACAGTGGTCTGCCTCCATTTGGATCCCAGAAGCTGCCCTATTAAGGCATGTGAAAAGAGCCAAGGCATGGGTTTCTTTTTTTCATCAGCGTTAAAGCCCCACATGCAAAGATACCTTTGTTTCCAAACTCCTTGTTTCCAAGGCCCTTGCTGCTTTCAGATTGTGTGGTCTCGCAAACACTGAATCATCTGACACATTTCTTCTGGGAGGAGAATGTTTCCAGGGCAATATCCAAAACATATATATCTGTCCTCCCCACCCCACCCTCCTCCTTTTTAAAAAAATATTTTATTGCATTTTTTTGTTTATTTATCTTGTGTGCATGTGTGTGGAGTCCGAGGACAACTTTTAGGAGTCAGTTCTCTCCTTCCATGTGGGTACTGGGGATCAAACTCGGGTCCTCAGGCTTGGTGCTGGACCTGATAAGCCATGCTCCAGGCCTGGTCTGGCCAAAACTTAGGTGTGGAGGGTTGCAAGAGAGAAAGTGGACAATCTTCCAGAGCCCCGGAAGAATATCGGGGAAGCTTGATTTTTCCAGGTGTTCCCAAAACAGAGAATCACAGACGAAAGAGCTCCAGCCACCTAGTGATATCACCCAGGCCCAGAGGAAACTGAGACCATAAGGAAGTTCACAGAAAAGTGTGGCCAAGCGGGACAGCAGAATCACACATCTACCAGAAAAGCTGCTGGATACTCTGGTTGATTAATTCCAAGCCAACAATTAATCTCCCAAAGTCACAGACGCTCTTACTCTGGCAGCAGCTTTGAATGAGCTTGGCACAAAAATCTGACATCAACAGGGACGTGTGAACATAGACATCATGCAAACTGAAAGGGTGCAGGTGACAGCCCGCACTGAGGGCACGCTTGCTCACCAGGAACAAGAGTGGGGACCCTTTCAAACACAACCACCTGGCTCAGGAAGTGACTGGGTTCCCTCAGGGAGACAGCCTTCCTGGACCTGCCCCAGTTTTCTTGATGGAAGGTGAAAAAAACGGCTGGACCAGAGCCCAGCCCACTCCACTTGGTAGAGGGAGAGCAGAAAAAGGAGACAGCTGGGCACTGAGGAAGACCAAGCTCGCAAAGGGTTACAGCTACACGGCAATGTCAGGGCAGCCAAAAGGAATCAGAACCTGACATGAAGTGAGCTTGTTCATCCAGGAGCTACAGAGTTACATGGAAAGAGTTGACAGCAATAAAATATTAAAAAATAAAAATAAAAAAAAAACATACACACATAATCATTCATCCTCCCTCCCTTCCATCCTCTCCCCCATCCTTTCCTCCCTCACTCCCTCCTCCACATGTATGTACATCCTGATTGAAAACAACTACACACAAACTATACCTACCGCCTGATTGAAAACACGTAAACGAACCCAACAACACGGAGACAGTGTGTGACCCTCAGCCTAAAACTCACTCACACAGTTCAGGGCTCCCCTGAATTTTAGGCAAACATGCATTACCTCATACACCCACCTGTAGCCACGGATGACTCAAGGCTTCCTCAGTGGTAAACCTAGTCTTTGGATCCACAACCAACAGTTTTTTGACAAGGTCCAGAGCTAAGGCAGCAAGAGAATTGGAGAAATCATAATGAAAGAAATGGATACATTTCACCTGCATTACTAAACCATGCCAGAACTACAGACCACCAGCCAGAGAGGAGAGCAGCATGAAGCCAGCTGATTTGGTGGAGAGAGCCCTCTAAGTCCCCCCCCTCTGAATGCAGAGGATAGGGACCTTGGGAACAAGGATGTATCCCATCTCTCCCTGCTGGGACATCACAACCTTTTCGCTCCTTGCTCCCTGTCTTGCCGCTGGACTCGAGTTCAAGCTAATTAAAACTAAACGTCTACCCAGCTCTGAGATACTCAGAATGGACCACAAATTCTGCATCCCATTGCTTGACGGTGAGAGACCAGAGAGGGGTTCCCTTTAGGGATGTCAGAACAAAGCCCAACCCACAGGCCAGCAACAACCAAAGGCTGGCTTTCTGCTGTAGTAATATTCTTCTTTGAAACCCTGATATTTAACACAATCACCTATGTTATATTATTGGACACTTGGTTTTCATCTACTTTTTCTCATGGGAGTTGCAAGGTTGCACTTTTAAATTAAAAAACACAGGGATTGGGGATTTAGCTCAGCAGTAGAGCGCTTGCCTAGCAAGTGCAAGGCCCTGGGTTTCAGTCCTCAGCTCCGAAAAAAGATTTAATAAATTGAAAAATACAGATAGCCGGGTGGTGGTGGCGCATGCCTTTAATCCTAGCACTCGGGAGGCAGAGGCAGGCAGATCTCTGTTCTAGGCCAGCCTGGTCTACAAAGCGAGTTCCAGGAAAGGTGCAAAAAAAAAAAAATACAGATAACTGACAACAATGAACTTTTATATTCTTCTTACTCAAAGAATATTTGTTATTAAAAGTTATTTTGCACACTTGAATGGGTAGCAGGCCCTTGTGTATGTTACATTAAACCTCACACAAAACCTTTGATGTCAGAGTTATTGATCACCTGTTTACAAATAAAGAAAATGGAGACTCAAAAAAGTTAAATAACTTGCCTGAGGTCACAAAACTAACCAATGGCAGACCTGGGACTTAAGCCCAGGCTCTTAATAATGTCCTCTTCCTTTCAAACGGTGCAAAGCAATGAACAGAACAGACAAGAGAAAACAACACCGAGTCTAACAAGAAACTCCCACCAACAGAACACCCACATTTCAGTAAAGCACGCATCTGTAACCCTTCCATATCCATACCCTTCTCTGAAACATCTGTCCAGACTTCAGGAATAAAGTTGTATTTTCCACTGGTGATCTGATCCTTCAGTGACACTTGAGTCTTATGCTCAGAGAAAGGTGGATACCCACTAAGGCTTAACATTGGTAGAGAAAGAAAGGGAAAAAAAAAAAAATCAAGTGGCATTCTCAGTGGCATTTGGATACACAGGTTTCTTCTTCAGCATTGAGAAAAATCAGCTTTTCCTTGAATCAATGATTTAAAAATGACCTAAATCAAACAGAAACTCTCTACCCGGACACAGGTACAGTTTCATCTGACCTCATTCAACCACACTGTAAAACAAGGAAAATTTTTCCTACCAGATGAAAAGAATAACTCCTAAGCTCCAGCAGTCCACAGCACGGCTGTACCCAGCAGTCCCATTGGAGACAAGGACCTCAGGAGCCAGGTAGGTGGGCGTACCACATAAAGTTCTCATCAGAGAGGTCTCCCCCAGAATCTTGGACTGTCCAAAATCAGTGATCTAAAATTACAAACAAAACAAATGAAATTCAGGCTGGAGAGATGGCTCAGAGGTTAAGAACACTGGCTGTTCTTCCAGAGGTCCTGAGTTCAATTCCCAGCACCCATATGGTGGTTCACAACGATCTGTAATGAGATCTGCTCCCTCTTCTGGCCTGCAGAGATACATGCAAACAGAACATTGTATACATAATAAATAAATCTTTTAAAAAAAAATGAAATCCAAACATAATCATAGTCAACCATTCCTAAGAGACATGGAAACTGGAATATCTATTACACAGACACCCTCCATTAACCCAAAATGTACAATTTCATGTCTTGGCAAAGCATTTAATTTTGCTTAAAAGAAAATCCCTGGGCCTAGGAACCTGAGAACCAAGGTTTTTCCAATTTACCTATCATCATTATAACTTTACAAAAACTGCAGAACCCTGCCACAAACACATTAGGACTCTTAATACTATGCATATAATTTGACTACACAATGGAACATCTGGAAAGCTTGGGGGTGGGGGGAGATGCACCTGTTGTCACCCTTGAGTTTTATGTTTTGGGGTTTTCATGTTGGTTTTTGTCTTGTAATTGTAACCGGAGATTCCTGAGTGAGGCTAGGCTGACAAGGAAAGGCGGGATCCATGACTCAATGGTCCATTCAAACCCTTTCCTCCCTCTGCACAGAGTGGCTTGTATACCCCGGGCCTCAGGAAGTGCTCAATAGATCTCAGCAGTAACTGTTAAGTATGGGAAGTTCAGATTCCCAACCTTTGGATATTCCTCTGTTTTTAAGTAAGAGATTAAAAGACAGTTTGGACAGAAATCACAGCGGTGGCAGCAGAGAGAGTGAGGAGTTTTCACCTTGATAAGGCAGTCCTCTTCTTGAGATGACAAAAGAACATTCTCTGGCTTTAAGTCCCGATGTATAATCCCATTTTCGTGAAGGTACTGTACAAGGAGAGAGGCAGGAACACTGGTTTATCCCACACACACGTGAGGACAGTTACCATCATCTAACTCTTCAAAGACAGAGCTGGACCAGGGCTGAGCACTTAGAAATTCATGTTACAGAAAAATCTTTAGACAGGGTTTCTCTGTGTAGCCTTGTTTGTTCTGGAACTCACTCTATAGACCAGGCTGGCCTCGAACTCACAGATCATTAAAAAATGAACTGTGAAGCCAAGCAAGGTAGTGTGTGCCTTCAATCTAAGCACTTGGGAGGTGAAGGCAAAAGATCAGGAGTTCGAAGCTAGGCTGGACTACAGAGCAAAGTAAAGGTCAGTCTATGCTACATGAGACCCTATCTCAAAAAAACAAACAAACAAACCTTATAGATGGCTTATGGGCTAGGAATATAGGTTTTGTGTGTGTGTGTGTGTGTGTGTGTGTGTGTGTGTGTGTGTGTGTGTGTGTGTGTAGGTCTATACACAAGGCCCTGGGTTCTATCCCCAGCACTGTGAAAAGAAAATAAAAATAAAAGAGTGAGGAAGGGTTGTGATTGGGATCTAGGATTGAGGAAAAATAAATATTTTTTATAATGTTTCTTTTTATTTTTAATTATGTATGAGGGAGTTTATGTGCATGTGAGTGCTGCTCATTTAGACCAAGGGTGTCAGATACCCTGAAGTTGGAATTACAGGTGTTGTGAACCACATTCCAGTCCTCTGCAAAACTAGTACCTGCACTTAACTGCTTCCACCCCTCCAAAAAAAAATTCTCATCCAAAACTTTTACTGGGCATTGACCTGCTGAAAACATTAAGGAAGATAAGCTCAGATAAGCCAAAGCTAGGAAAATCCCCCTCAGTCCTCACTCAATACAATAACTGTTCCAAATACAGGCTACCCACTCCCCTTCCCCCACAGAGGGTTTCTCTGTATAACAGTCCAGGCTGTCCTGGAACTCACAGAGATCCACCCGCCTCTGCCTCCCACCTCCATTCTATTTCCTTCAATGAATGGGCTTTCAAGAGAACAAACTTCTTTGGTATGGTGGTGCATGCTTTTAACCTCTGCACTCGGAAGGCAAAGACAGGCAGATCTCTGAGTTCAAGGCCAACCTTCTCTACATAGATTCTAGGACAGCTAGGGCCACAGAGAAAGACCCTGTCAGCAGAGGAGAGAAAGGAGAGAGAGGAAAGTCAGAGGAGAGAGAGGTGGGAGGAAGGAGGGAGAGAGACAGTGACCAAACTACCAAACCTTGGGAGGTAATTACCACCACAAAACCTGGGACAGAGTATGAGCACATGCCCGGCACATCATCGGTGTGCTGCATTTTGTGGGGTACTGTTCATAAGGAACATATTATCGAACCATAGAAGAACAAATTATCTATCTCAATCATCCCAACTGGTCAGTCTTGCTTTCAATCCCACCTTTACGCTCTGCAAACCAAGACATCGCCATGAGAATCGGGTAGGTGCAAAAAGATCAATGCCGCTCCAGAAAGCCCTCCAAGTCAAAGGCACAGACAGGGTTGTGTGGATTTTGTTTTTCTGAGATACGAGGGGGTGAACCTGGGGCTTCGAAAGTACCTTCCATTTTGATTTTGAAACAAGCTCTCTCTACATTGCCTGAGCTGGCTTTGAACTCTGAGACGCCTGCCTTACCCTGACCAAGTAGCTGGGATTCCAGGCTGCGCTACCAGGACTGGTGGTATATTCATTTCCTTAGTTCCCTTTCTGCTTGATCATCTGAGTCATGGGGGCAGAGATTTTTTTTATATATTTATTTATTTACTTACTTATTTATTTGCCTAGAAGAGAACAACAAACACAGAACCTCTTGAATTTCAACCCTCAGTCCCTGGGTCCTGGCCTAACTCCAGAGGGTTCCTCTCACCTGCACGGCTAAAAGCATCTGGTAGAAATACAGCTTGCAGGTTGCTTCCTTCAGGCGTTTGTTCCCCACCACCCTGTCAAACAGCTCTCCTCCTTCCATCCTGAAACACAGACAAGTGGGACCTTCACTCATGGAGGCACAGCACAAATGAAATAAACTCCTCTAGCCCAGCAAAATGGGGGAGGCGGGGTGTGAGTCAATGAGCCCTTGCCCCACGGGGGAGAGGCCCCGACCTGGAACTCCACCACTAAAACACAGGTCATTTCATTCTCTCTTCACAGAACTTTCAAAATGAATGAGCTTGGCTGGGTGTGATGGGGTACGTACGCCTTTAATCCCAGCACTCAGGCAGATCCTAGAGCGTTCAAGGCCAGCCTGGTTTGGGCTACATAGCGAGCCCCAGGCTGGCCGTGGATACATGATACCCTGCCTCAAAATAAATAAATAAATAAATAAATAAATAAATAAATAAATAAGAATCATCTTGAGGGCTGGAGAAAACAACTCAGTTGTTAACAGTGTGTATATACTATTTGTCCTGTCCAAAAGAAACTCAGGACAAATGGCTAACTGGTGCCTATCAGCATACCAAAGCATAGGATGGCCTCCAGGCTCACTGAGTACCCATGGCTCCTCTCAGCTCTTCTCAGAGCCCCACTACGCTAAACTTCTCCAGCTCATGGGCTTCCCTTCCCCCAACTTCTTTCCTACATAACCCTGCCTTTTGGGCCATGTGCTCTCTTGGTTCTCGTGGCCCTCTCTCCTCTTTGCTCTCTTTCTTCTTCCTCTCTCCTCTTCATCTCTCCCTTCTCTCCTGGCCTGGCTCATTCTACTTTCTCTCTCTGCTCTGGACTCTTCCAGACACCTCTGGCTGTGCTCTCCCTCTTATCTACAATAAAACCCTTCTCAACCACACCTTGGAGCGGCCATGTCTTCATTCACTCACTGCTCTTACAAACCACACAAATTCACTTCCCAGCACCCATGTCTAACTCACAAGTGCCTGTAACTCCAGCTCCAGGGAACCAAAGCCCACTTACCGACCTCTCTGAGCACTGGAAGTCACGTGTACACACCCACACACTTGAAAATAATAAAAAATAAATCTTGTAACAAATTAACCCGCTAATAAACCTCATCCACCATCAGATGCCCCAGTTGGAAAAGAGAAAAAGGTGTAACAGAGTAGGCACTGGTGACTTCTTCGGGAACTTTAAAACGTCTAATTCCAGCAGGATGGTGGTGGCCCACACTTTTAATCCCACCTACTACAATAATTGATGTCAAAATAAGACATAAGAGGTGGTGCATATCTAAACCCCAGCACTCAGGAAGCAGAGGCTGGTGGTACATCAAGAGTTCAAAGAGATCCTAAGCGGCACAAAGAATTTAACACCAAAGTGGGCGACATGAGACTCCATCTCAAAAAATAATAATAGTACTAATTGAGGGTTGAGAATGTAGGGCACTTGCCTACCCTGTACAAGACCCTGGGTTTGAGTCCATCTACAGAGCAAAACTACTGATGCACATAAAAAGCATGGCAGAGTGCAGGCGTTCAGTGAGGCCAGTCATTTCCTTAAAGGACATTTCAACGGTGAAGTAGGAACCCACTGTAACCCGTGGAGCATTATGAAGGATACTAAGTCCATTCAAGGGAAATGCTGCCAGCAGAATTGGCTCACAGCAAGGCTGTAACAAGCAGCAGCTAGTACTGATTATATTGTTGCCACTATTATTGATTTGTTACCTGGACCTGTGCAGGTGCTGGGAACTGAACCCAAAGCTTCTGGAAGAGCAATCAGTGTTCTTTCTTTTTTTTTAATTAAGATTTTTTATTTATTATGTATACAGAAGAGGGCGCCAGATCTCATTACACATGGTTGTGAGCCACCATGTAGTTGCTGGGAATTGAACTCAGGACCTCTGGAAGAGCAGTCAGTGCTCTTAACCTCTGAGCTATCTCTCCAGCACCATCAATCAATGTTCTTAACCACTGAGCCATGTCCTCAGCCTTTCTAGAAATAGATAAATATAAATACACACACACACACACACATACACACACACACACACATATATTATTGCTGGGTGTGTATGGTGTTTGTGGGTTAAGCACACATGTGACATGACTTAACCATAAAGGTCCAAGGACAGCTTAGGAGTCAGTTCTCTCTTTTCAGCATGTGGGTCCTTCAGATAAGACTCAGATCCTCAAACCTGGCGGCAGATCCCTCTCCTCAATGAGCCATCATCCATCGTGCCCTCCCTGTCATAATCAAATGGCCAGTCTCCATGGGCATCATTTGCCGGCTATGAGCACAGCATTCCCTGCCTGACCCAACAACTGCTCCCAGACATTTATACAGGAACAGACATGGAACAGGCCACTTCCAGAAATGAGAAGAAACTGGGGCCCTTGAAGAAACTGAAAGATACTCAAATGCCACCATGCAACCAGGTCCCGTGAGCCTCAAGAGTGGTCCACACAGGCAGGTATCTTCAGAGTAATGATAAACTGGACTCATGTTGAATGTCCACATGTGCCAGTACCCTGTAGGGCTTCCCAACCCTCAAATCATTTAATCCTTTTAAGAAGTCTACATGTTAGGGTACAATTATTACCCACATGTAACACCAAGAAAAGGAGACTCAGGGAGGTGAAATGAACTCCTCATGGGCGATCAGCTCATTTTGTATAAAGTAAAGCTTGACCGCAGGCCTCAGATACAGGTCTCAGTCCCTTCATACCTGCCGTTAGAAGGGCTTTAGAACTGATACACACACACACACACACACACACACACACACACACACACACACACACACACTTTGTGACCCCACCAACACATTTCCATTTAGAGCCCTAGCATAAGAAAGGCAAGTCTGCATTCAATTCTTTTCTGGCTTATAAGACTTACACAGAAATAAATTAAAAATGTTACTACTTGCTGGGCAGTGGAGGTGCATGCCTTTAATCCTAGCACTCAGGAGGCAGAGGCAGGAGGATCTCTGTGAGTTTGAGGCCAGCTTGGCCTACAGAATGAGTCTCAGGCAGGCTCCAAAGCTACACAGAGAAACCTTATCTCGAAAAACCAAAACTAAAACAAAACAAAAAGTTACTACTTACAACTCCAGAACAATGTAATAATCTTCTGCATCAAAAACGTCTTTAATCTGGATGATGCATGGCTGAAACAGAAGAAAGGAGAAATGAGAAACTCCAAAAAGGAAACCTCAAGACACAGAAATTGAGGCTTCAGGAGGACAAAGAGCAGGCACTGGGCCCTTGTCACTATGGGAGACAGCGAAATGGGATGTAGCTGACTCCTCGTTGAGAACACTCCAGTGACAGCAAGGGGTGACTCATGTGTGCAGATGAGCCTAAGAGCGACATCAGGTCTTCCCAGCCTTCTTCATCTGTCCGCAAACAGGACCCAAGGAACCTGACAAGCACCATGAATACGGCAGCAGTAGCTGGGTGGTTCAGGGCGGTGAGGAACTTTCACAGCAGGCCCGAGACCCGAAATCCAACCCCAGCACAAGAGTGAGGAGAAACAGGACACAAGACCAGAGACCATGAAGCTAATTTGTAATCCCAGCACTTGGGAAGACAAGGAAGGAAAATCAAGAACTCAAGGGCAGCCTCAGCTACAAAACAAGTTCAAGGCCAGCCTGGGCAATATGAGACCCTGTCTCAACAACAAAGAAGAAGGCTAGAGAGGAAGCCCAATTATACTACCAGATACCAGATTCATCTAGGTCCAGGACTGGAAGCATGGAGAACGGAGCCCTTTGTGATAATATCCCTCCCATTGTATAAAACCTTTCAAGCATGGCTGACAGCTTATGACCTAGCATCAGCACAGGGGACACAGAACACCGTGGGCAGGGAAGAACAGGTTTAGGTACTCTAGAATGTACACTTAACATTATGATTTTCCACGTAGAAAGCACACCCATTGTGTTTACACAGTGAGAGGGATAAGAAACAGACTGGGTGAGTATCGATCGGCATAGAGGACTGTGATCGTGTGAGAATCGGAGAGAATATAATACTTTCGGGATTGAGATTAAAAAGGGTGGTGAAACCCACTCACCACAGTGTTCTTCCTTCAAAGCAAGTCTCAGCATAACTGCTGCTCTGTATCCAGGAGGCCTTCCTGCAGTGAACTGTTACAAGATAGTCAGCGGAGACCCCACTGCCTCCCAACATGTAAGACCTTGGCAACAATGCTGAGTGCTAAGGCAAGACTTCCATTTTAATAAGGCTCAAAAGAAGCAGTAAAATACTTCAGGAGACAGGATGTGTGTAGTGGTTTGTTTATTTAATTACGTGTGTCTGTCTGTCTGTCTGCATCTCTGTATGCCATGGAGCATGTGTGGAGGTCAGGGGAGAACTTGTGGGAGCTGATTTTCTCCTTCCTCCCAGTAGTTCCTAGGGATCAGTCTTAGATGATCAGACTTGGTAGCAAGTGTCTTAAACCTCTGAGTCATTTTGCCAGCAACGAATGTGTTAAAAAAAAAAAAAAAAAAAAAAAAGTGGCAAAGCAGCCTGCAGCAGGAAGATTGCTTGAGCCAGGAATCAGAGTCGAGCCTGGCCAACTCAGCCAGTTCCTGTGGAAAGGAACCAAAACAAACTCCACTCAAGAGGCGGAGGTGGAAGGATCACGTGAGCGCACAGTATTCCCAGACCGGCCAGGGCAACAGGGCAGGGCTGTCTCCAAACAACAAAAAAGAAATGGAAAGTGGGGGAGGAAGGAGGTGAGGGGGGAGAAAAGGCAGACGGAAGGAAAAAGGAAAGGAAAGAGAGAGCAGGGAAGGAAAAGAGGAGAGGAAGAAGTTGCAGATGAAGTGGAGGACAGCCAAGCAGGGAGGCCGGCCACTGAGTTGTAAATAGGCTGTGGGGATGCTGTGTCCAAGGCAGTAATCTAGAATAAACAGAGCTTCGAGTTCTTGGAGGGAAGTGAGGAGGTGAAAGAAAAAGAAATTCTTTTGTTTGGAGGTTAAAAGCGAGAATAAGATAACCCCTAGCTGGGCAGGCAAGATTTGAGTCAAGTTTAATTCCAGCACCTACTGAGCTGGTGCTGACGGGTACTCATAAAGTAAAGACACTGGAAAACATCGCAAAAGCAGAGACAAGATCAGACCAGTACACTACAGCCCTTCTCACCTTTCTGTGACTTCCACAGACACACACTCATCCTGACAAAAGAGGTAAGGACCATCTATACCCAGCAAGACTCCCCACACCAATGAATCAGACGGTACGACGGGACTCCACTTACCTGTCACATACCATAGATTTAACTGCATTACTCCAAATAAAAGGTATATTACAGGGTCAAAATTTCAGGTAAAATTAACCTCACTAAAACTTACTTTTTTTTTTTTTTTTTTTTTGCAAATATGATCACTAATCTCTAAGATTTTGGTCAAGATCTCAGCAAAAATAGTATTAAATCATGAGGTTATAAAGCCTTTACAGAGGACTGCATTCTCAACATCTTGAAATAAAAACTCTCGCAAGGTAAAAAAAAAAAAAAAAAAAAGAGCTGGGTCATGTATGCATTCACATACATATGAAGGAGCCCAAGTTAACACGAGACTCCTACAGAAACGCTTTGTACATGTCCCATATTTTGAGATAAGTTTCTATGAATAATAGTAATACTTACATGATTCAGTTTTTTCAAAATTTCTATTTCAGTTTCAACACTGGGAGCCGTGTCCTAAATAGGATAACATTAGAGTTCATTAACAATAATAATTGTAATGGTTAGTATCTTAACAATACATTTAGAATTAAACTTAAGTAAGTAAAGGCCATCTGAGTTATAGACTAGCCTCTGTTCATAGAGTACACAAATAAATAGATAAAATATGTAAACTACAGTTATGTAAAACAGACTCTGGCTAAGAAGACCAGATTTAAAAGTTTTTTAAATGTCTATTTGCTTTATTTTTTTTATTTTTATTTTATGCACATTGGTGTTTTGCCTGCATGTATGTCTGTGCGAGGGTGTCGGGTCCCCTGGAACTGGGATTATAGACAGCTGTGAGCTGCCATGTGGGTGCTGAGAATTGAACCCAGGTCCTCTGGAAGAGCAGCCAGTGCTCTTAACCACTGAGCCAACTCTCCAGCCCCCTAGATTTAAAATTTTTAAATCCAGCCTTTCCTCTCAGCTCTCACACTAGTTACTATAGTACAGGGTTGGGGTGGGGTAGGGGGTTCTATTAATTGAGATCAATTAAGAAGTAAAGATTGGCTCTAAGTTTTTAATCAATCTAGTAGATATGCTTTTCTCTCCTAAATGGGAAGCAAATCATGGGGGTGAACAATCTATAACAAAGTGAACACAGACAGGAAATTCCTCTTGCCATGTAAGAACAGAATTATCTAGGGAAAAACAATTTGAAGAATGTTAAAGCCAGAAACAGCTGGCTGGGGAGGAAGAAGTGACTGGGTCCTGCCTTCTACTTACTTTGTCAGCTTATGTGTGGAAAAAAACGCCTTTAGCTACTGCACTCATTTAGTAAATGTGGGTAGAAAAAGTGATAAATAGCTGCTACATAAAAATAATTTACATTTAAAAAAATCTGCAACTGAAAATTGGAAATGTTACCTAAGTGGTACAGTACTTGCCTGGCATTCATAAATCCCTGAGTTTGAGAAAAATAGGTCTCGAAGCTGGGCGGTGGTGGCACACACCTTTGACCCCAGCACTTGGGAGGCAGATGCAGGCAGATCTGAGTTTGAGGCCAACCTGGTCTACAAAGTGAGTCCCAGGACAGACAAGACTGTTAAACAGAGAAACCTTACCTTGAAGAAAAAAAAAATGTGTTTCTATAACTAACTCATAGACATTGCCACAACACCCAAAACAGCAAAGCATTTGGAGTTACCATAACAACCAAGCAGAGAATTATTATCTGCATAAATTATGAGGAAGTTGGTGATTTCTTTGAGAATCTATCTAAATCTGTCTGATAATATCCAGAACTTCTGTATAGTGTTCAACTCACACCTCAGAAGTGAATCTCATCAGGCAAATGCTAACCAACTCCTTGGAAAACACACGAAACCTTACAGAGCCAATAAGATCAGCAGAGCGTAGGGAAACAGACTGTTACTGTCCTTTGCAGTCAGAGGAACTTTACGATCAAACTGAGTCAAAACTACTTAAAAGTCAATTAGTGAGTTAATAAGCTACCTCAGTCAGGAGTGGGAGTACATGCCTATAATCCTAGCACTCCAGAGGAGGCATACATAGGAGACACCTTCTAGGCCAATCTCACTACATGATGAGTTCTAGGCCAGGTGGCGCTATGTGAGAGCCCTATCTCAAAAAAAAAAAAAAAAAAATGTTTTTGGAGTAAAAAAGTAATCACCATAACTTGGAGAATGAGTCAAAATGATACATTGTAGGTAATAAGGATTTGATACTTTAACAGATACTTTCAAAATCAGTGTTCAGAGTCAAGTACAGCAGGGTGAGCTGTCCACACCTTTGATCCCAGAACTCTGGAAGCAGAGGCAGGCAGATCTCTGTGAGTTCAAGACCAGTCTGGTCTACAAAGTGAATTCCAGGACAGGCTCCAAAGCTACACAGAGAAACCTTGTCATAAAAAAACAAGAAAAAAAAGGACTACAACTAAGCCATCCAATCTTTCTGAGATTGAGCCATACTCCAGGGTTACTGGAGGAAGTTATGAAGATGTGAAGACCCAGGGGGCTGCAAACACAGGTACTTACTGCTTCTCTCGATGAGCCAAGAGCAAACTTCCGCTTACTGATGATCTTTATGGCTACTTTCTTACATGTTCTCCTCTCGAAAGCCATTTTTACCTCCCCACAAGCACCACTAATGGGAAAAACACAGACAGTGACTTTTCAGGATGATTTCTGTCATGAAACCCACCATGTCCAAATCTGCCTTGACTATAAGAAGTCAAAGATGGGGCTGAGGAGGTTGCTCAGGTGGGTAACATGCTTGTCATGCAAGTGTGAGAATCTGAGTTCAAATATCCAGAACCCATGTAAACCAGGCATCCTAGCACACGTCTGTAACCCAGACTCCACACAGCAAGACTGGAGGCAGAAGCTTGTGGGCCGGCCTGCCTGGCATGCACAGCAGCAAACAGGGACCCTGTCTCAAAGTAGAAAGCCAAGGACCAACACACAAGGTTGTCTTCTGATCTCCACACAAATTCTGTGGCACAGGCACTCCCAGACTTTCACACACACACACACACACACACACACACACACACACACACACACACACACACATGAAACTAAGAATTGTCCATGCAACATTTTTTTCATTGTCCCTGTGTTCAAAGGACACACTGAAGGTTCACCAGAGTAAACTGTCAAGAGCACAGTTAGATGCAGAACATCCATTAACACTGAGTTTGGAGTGACTTCAATCTGAATCACAGCCTTGATCATGAAATTCACGGAAAAACACTAAGAAAAAAGAGAATTTACTTTCTCTAGAGGTCAGAGAAATATCAAAGAGTCTTCCTGATCAAAACTGAGTACTATGCCAGGAGTATCACACAACTGTAACTCAAGAGCTGAGAAGAGAGACGGACAGCAGCCAACCAAGACCAACTTGGGTCCACAGAGTTCATCCAGGCCTGAACTGAAGAAAGAGAAAGTCCAAACCAATTACCAACAAACAATTTGCATACACAGTTGGAAGCATGAACTGCACCCTACACTACATCTAAAAGTGCTACACGATTACTCTGCACACAGCAGCATCCCTCAAAGATTTCAGACTCACTGGGTACCACCAAGGGCAGAGGAACGGCCACACAGAACAGTATGCAGCCCACTGTGACCCCCAGTAAATCTGTTTTGCAAAGTGAGACCAATCCTAGCAATGATAACTATAGTACGAGCCATAGCAACTGCTACTATCTAGTTCCAATTAAGAAAACACCATATTACCTTGCCCCTAGCAACCACTAATTAGCTTTCTAAAAATTATCTGGTATTTCATAGAAATTCATATTGCTTTCATTTAGCTTAATGTTCTAAAAGCTCACCCATGTTATAGCAGCAATCAGTACCTCTTTATTATTTGAGACTGGATCCTACTATGTTGGTTTGGTCTTAACCTTTCTAGAAGCTGGAAGATCCTGTGACAGCACCTAGCTACCTATTTATTTCCTTTTATCCCCCTTTGAGACAAAAGTCTTAGGAAGCTCAGCTGTCCTCAAATGACTATTATGCCAAAGGATGTAATAACTTTGAACTCCCAATCCTTCTGCTAAATTTGTTTTACGTTGTTGAATGCCAAGTATGTACTACCCTGCCAGGCTGTCTTTTTCTGTTAGGGATTGAACTGAACATTTTACATTAAATTGCATGCCTACCTTAGAAGAGTAGGGGCTGACAGGACGGTTCAGCAAGCAGAAGTGATTGACCCATAAGCTGGCTAGGTTTTTTTTGCCAATTTGATTTCATTGAGGATTACCTGCTAAGAAGGACTCTCAATTGAAAAAATGCCTCCATTAGATTGTCCCATAGATAAGTCTGTGGGACTTTTTTTTGACTAATGTGGGAGGGGCCAGTCTACTATGTGCAGTACTATTCCTGGGCAGGCAGATCTAGGATGTTAAGAAAGCAGAATAAAAGCCGGGCGGTGGTGGTGCACGCCTTTAATCCCAGCACTCGGGAGGCAGAGCCAGGCGGATCTCTGTGAGTTCGAGGCCAGCCTGGGCTACCAAGTGAGTTCCAGGAAAGGCGCAAAGCTACACAGAGAAACCCTGTCTCAAAGAGAAAAAGAAAAGAAAAGCAGAATGATGAAGCCATGGAAATTGAGTCAGTAAACAACATTCCTTCATGGTTCTGCTTCAGTTCCTGCCTCTGAGTTCCTGCCCTCAAAAGATTGGGCTGTGATCAGAACATGGAAGCCAAATAACCCCTTCCCTCTTCAAGCTGCTTTTGGTCACAGTGTTTATCGAAGCAAAGTAGGAGAGAAATTGGCACCAGGAGTGGGGGTACTGCTGTGATGGATGTCACCATGTTGTTTGGGGGAAGGATTATAGGGTTTTGTAGCTCTGGGCTGGAAAAGCCACTGAGTGCTCAGAGATTAGCGGGTTGTTCTGTAGAAAACTGGAAGATGGCCGGGCGGTGGTGGCGCACGCCTTTAATCCCAGCACTCGGGAGGCAGAGGCAGGTGGATCTCTGTGAGTTCGAGGCCAGCCTGGTCTCCAAAGCGAGTTCCAGGAAAGGCGCAAAGCTACACAGAGAAACCCTGTCTCGAAAAACCAAAAAAAAAAAAAAAAAAAAAAAAAAAAAACTGGAAGATGAGAGAAATGCAAATAATAGAAGTCTAGTCCGTGAAGTTTCAGAGGGAAAATTTAGAGTCCCTTAAAGACTCTATGAGAGCCTTTTGTGTGATAGTTTCAATTAAGATTTTGTGAAAGTGAGGCTGGGTGATGGTGGTGCATGCCTTTAATCCCAGCACATGTGAGGCAGAGGCAGGTGGACCTCTGAGTTTGCGGCCAGCCTGGTCTACAGAGTGAGTTCCAGGACAGCCAGGGCTACACAAAGAAACCCTGTCTGGGCAGGGGTTTTAATCTGTGAAATAAAACCTTTTGTGCTTTACTGAGATAATCAATGCTAGTTAGCTGGGGATTAAAAATCAGCTGTGATTAATAAGACACCAGCATCATCAAGGTGAAATCTTCTGGGTCAGCACACAGAAACTGCAGTCCAGAAAGGGTCCAAAGCTACATCTCAAGCTGGAAGTCAATAATGTGTAATAATATGTAACTTCATAATGTGTAAGAGTCTCCCATAAGATACTAGTTTTGAAGGCATGAAGGGACCACGGAAAGCAGCTGAGGCTTGGCACTGTGTGGCTGGGATGGAGTATCCCTGAAGAGAGTCCAGGAGGCCACTGGTAAAGATGCAGGCTCAGTTGCAGTTGGAGACCCCAGCATAATGGAGATGCCTGGACTGAGGGATGACCACTGAGGACAGCAGCAGGTATGGAGTCAGCCTGAGACTACAAGACAAGCTACGTGTGCCATGGAGGGCACAGTGTGAGAAGTGGAGCTACTCAAGACTTCTGTAGTCCAAACGATCATGAGTGAGTGACACTGAGCTATGTACACCGCTGGAATTCGATTTTGCTTTGATCTGACTGTAACCCTGGGTCCTTCTTAAAATAACACTTATTTTTGTTGTAGTTGTTGTTTTAGAAGAGCCCACAGTGAAGAGACTTTGAATATTTTTTAATGAAAACTTGAACTTATAAATTGCTGAGTTTTTGTTTTTTTCATTTTATGTGTATGGGTGCTTTTCCTACATATATGTCTGTGCCACACTTATGTGCAGTACACCAGAGACTGGAAGATACCAGATCCCCTGGAATTAGAGTTACAGGCAGTTATGAGACATCACGTAGGTACTGGGAATCAAACTTAGGTTCTCTTGAAGAGCAACCAGTGTTCTTAGTCACAAGGCAGCTCTCCAGTTCCAAACTGTTGAACTTTTTACTTATTTTTATTCTGTGTGTTCTGCCTGCATGTTTGTCTGTGTGAGGGTGTCAGATCTTGGAGTTACAGACAGTTGTGAGCTGCCATGTAGAGGCTGGGAATTGAACCCGGGTCCTCTGGAAGAGCAGTCAGTGCTCTTAACTGCTAAACCATCTCTCTAGCCCCCTTGTTGAAATTTTAAAAAGATCCAGTCTTAAAAAAAAATTAGATGGTGCTTCACACTGTGACATTTTTTTTTTGTTTGTTTTTTGAGACAGGGTCTCTCTACATAGCCCTGGCTGTCCCGGAACTCACTATATAGACCAGGCTGTCCTCAAATTCACAAAGAACCACTTGCCTCTACCTCCCAAGTACTAGATTTAAAGACATGCATCACCACCCCCAGCCGATGATATTAATAGTAATGTGACATCTTGGGGACAAACAAGAAAGGAAAGATTATGGTGCGATGGTAACATGTTTGTATGTCAAGTCGACAAGGAATCAATTGTACTGGGTTTTGTTGTTTATGTTTTTGTTTTTTGTCAACTTGACACAAGCTAGGATCACCTGGGAAGAAGGAACCCCAATAGAAATAAAAGTATCTCCATCAGACTGGCTTGTACACAAGCCTGTGGGACATATTCTTGATTAACGATTGATGCTAAACCCACTGTACACAGTCTTACCCCTGGGGACGTGGTCCTGGATTATAGAAAAAGCCGGGTTGAGCAAGCCTTTGGGAGCAGGCCAGTGAGCAGCGTTCCTCCACGGTCTCTGCTTCAGTTCCTGTCTCAGGTTTCTGCCCTGGTTGAGTTCCTGCCTTGGTTCCCTCAATGATGAACTGTGATCAGGACATGAGAGCCAAACAAGCCCTTTCCTCCCCAAGCTGCTGGTGATTATGATGCTTACCACAGCAATAGAAAGCAAAGTAGGGCTCCAGACAAGCTGGATGACCTGATTAATCTCTGAATCTATGGCAGAATGAGAAAACTCCTGAAAGTTGTCCTCAGAGTGCCACATGCACACCATGGTACACAGGTCACATGTAAGCACACACACACACACAACCTCCACACGCACCCACTCTTCACACACATCACATTCACTCATACATTATACACTCACACCTACCCACACTCACAACACAACACAATCTCACACACCCCTCACACATCATGTACTCACACATACATTATAATACTCCCACCTACACTTACACACACCATACACACACTCTTCACACGCATATCACATCACACTCACACGTACATTAATACATTCACACCTATCCACACTCACACACAACACATACAATCTCATACACACACACCTCACACTCATCATATATCATATACTCACACATATATGATAACGCTCTCATCTACACACCCACACCCATATATACACACAAAAGTAATTAAATAATTAAATAACAATAAATACACTGGACATGAAAGCTCATGCCTATAACCCTCAGGAGCTGAGACAGGACAACTGCCCATGAGTTTGAGGTTTACTTTAGTTCACACCAGTCTAAACTATGGAGTGAGTCCTTGTCTCAAAAAAAAAAAAAAAAAAGCCAAAAACTTAATTAGTTAATTAATTAAATGGTTTGGGGATAAGGTTCAGTACTCTAGCACTTTACCAAACATGCAGAGAAGCCTCGATTTGAACACTAGCGTTATTAAACAAACAAAGCAAGGCCAGGCCAGCAAGATGACTGACCAGGTCATGACATCTGCCCTCAAGCATAATGGTATGAATTCAATCCACATGGTAGGAGAACTGAGCCCTCTGGCCTCCACATACTCACTGTGGCATGAGTGCCCCCACACACATACAGATACATGTGAATTATATGTTCCATGAATCACAGGTTATTAAAAACTGCTTCTCAGCCGGGCGGTGGTGGCGCACGCCTTTAATCCCAGCACTCGGGAGGCAGAGCCAGGCGGATCTCTGTGAGTTCGAGGCCAGCCTGGGCTACCAAGTGAGTTCCAGGAAAGGCGCAAAGCTACACAGAGAAACCCTGTCTCGAAAAACCAAAAAAAAAAAAAAAAAAAAAAAAAACTGCTTCTCAAAAGTCATCAATAGCTGGGCATGGTGAGGCAGGCTTGGAATCCTGAGTGGGGAGGTAAAGGCAAGAGGATCAGGAGTTCAGGACCGTCCTTGACTGCATAGTGATGTTGAAGCCAATGTTAAAAAAAATAAACCAGCCAGGCGGTGGTGGCGCACGCCTTTAATCCCAGCACTTGGGAGGCAGAGCCAGGCGGATCTCTGTGAGTTCGAGGCCAGCCTGGTCTCCAAAGCGAGTTCCAGGAAAGGCGCAAAGCTACACAGAGAAACCCTGTCTCGAAAAACCAAAAAAAATAAAAAAATAAACCAGCCAGGAATGGTGGCCCAGGCCTTTAATCCAACCCCTTGGGAGGCAGAAGCAAGGGAATCTCTGCGATTTCTAGGCCAGTCAGCGCAACAAAGTGACACCCTATCTCAAAAATTACTTAATTAAAGTAAAATAAAGAGCTGGGAAGACAGTCCAGTCTATAAAATGTTTGCTACACAAACGTACGGACCTGAGTTTGGATCCCAGCACCTACATAAACAGCTTGTCTCTAATCCCAGTGCTGGGGAGGTAAAGACAGGGACATCCTAGGGGCTTGTTAGCCAGCAAGGTAAACTGAGTCAGTGAGCTCCAGGTTCATCGAGCTACAAAATATAAAGTGGAAAATCACTGAAGAAAATACTGACCTCAGGACTCATATGCAACCATCCTCACACAGATGCGCTCTCTCTCTCTCTCTCTCTCTCTCACACACACACACACACACACACACACACACACACACACACACACACGAGTCATCAATGAAGCCAAGCCTGGCGGCACAAGTTACTCCAAGCACTAAAATTTATAAGGAAAACGAGTGTATTTAAACTGATCATTATCAAATAAATCAGTAATACATCATCTACCACAAAGTTCGACAAACAGCTATGCTATAAATAACAAGGCTGTAAAATCAAGTACAAAAACTAACCAATGAAAATACATAGGAAAAAAATGAGGTCTAGTTTATCATATAAAGAAAAAAAAGTTTACCTTCCAAGAGTTTTTGACATGATGTATTCGTCTCTTAATTCCTTAGGATAAACTGACTGATCATCTACAGTCAGATCAAAAAACACAAAAACTGAGGGGGAAAGGACAGAAATGGGCTTGTTAATTCATGATTAGAAAACTGGTTCTAAAATTCAGCTATATAGACTATAAGATTTAGAACTACATGTATTATGTAATACAAAGTCAATTATTTTTAATCCAGGAACCAGCAAGGTCGCTCAGTAGGTAAAAATAACTTAATACACATGCCTAATAACTTGAGTGTGATCCCCAGAGCCACAGCGGAAGGAGAAAACAAACTCCCAACAGCTGTCCTCTGACCCCTACATGCATATTGTAACATGTAAGCCTGCACACGCACATAGAATCAATCTCTCTCTCTCTCTCTCTCTCTCTCTCTCTCTCTGTACACACACACACACACACACACACACACACACACACACACACACACACACCACACAAAGAAAAAATTCAGCACTCAGGAGGCAGAGGCAGGCAGATCTCTGAGTTCAAGGTCAGCCTGGTCTACACAGGGAATTTCAGGAGAGCCATACAATGAGACCTTGTCTCAAAAAAAAAAAAAACAAACAAAGGAAAAACACAACTCAGGCAATGGAGTTAACTCCTGAATGTGACTGAATGCTAACTTACTTACTTGACTAATTTAAAGCATAATCGATGAAGACACAAAAATTTCCCTTTACAGAGGAAGTTAAGCCCATTAACAATATAATAATACTACCTTTATTTCTACATAGTGAAAGTGCGATTTCAGAGTTGTTACACAGAGGAAGGCGTTTTCCTTTCCCTATAAGCTCAGTATTTACAAAGGTTCCGTTCCCGCTGTGATCTTCTATGTACACAATGTAAGAATTTTTAGGGCCCATTTCCTAAAATAGAGAACATTTGATTTCCACGTTTTAACAACAGGGATGAAATGGTGCAAGACACCCAAGAGCAAAGACTACATCACCAGATCTCGGAGGAGAGAGGTAACTGTCACCTACCCTGAAAATTCGAAAGTGCTTCTTGCTGTACGTCCGATACTTATCGGTCCTTCTCAACAGTGGTCCATCAAAGCAATATTCACAGCTTTTATCCCTCCCAAACCAGTAGTTGTCGTTGACACAGTCTGTTGATACAAAAGCACACAGCAGAGGACTGGAATCTCATGCATCAAACATTCAATAGTGCTCACTGTAGGGAGGAACCAGTTCTGTGACGTGATACCCACGTGACCCCAGCATTTGGGAGGCTCCCAGGAGCCGGAAAGCTCAAGGCCACTCTTACCTACACAGAATGAAGACGCTGTCAAAAAAGAAGCATGTAATTGAAGGCAATCAAAGGTATAGATTTGATGACCAAATTTTTCTAAGATTAAAAATTGGGGAACACGGCCGGGCGGTGGTGCGGCACACCTTTAATCCCAGCACTCGGGAGGCAGAGGCAGGCGGATCTCTGTGAGTTCAAGGCCAGCCTGGTCTACAGAGTAAGTTCCAGGACAGGCTCCAAAACTACACAGAGAAACCCTGTCCCCACCCCCACCCCCACAAAAAGGCATAGGATCGGAAAAGGGAAGTGAAATGACAGGATATTCTTTTTTTTGTTGTTTTTTTTTGTTGTTGTTGTTTTGTTTTTCGAGACAGGGTCTCTCTGTGTAGCTTTGCGCCTTTCCTGGAACTCACTTGGTAGTCCAGGCTGGCCTCGAACTCACAGAGATCCGCCTGGCTCTGCCTCCCAAGTGCTGGGATTAAAGGCATGCGCCACCACCCGCCCGGCAGGATATTCTAATATATATATAAAGAGGTAAAACAATAGGTTGTTCCCTTTTCTTAATGATTTTTATTATTTTACTTTATAGGCATGGGTGCTTCGCCTGTGTGTATGTCTGTGTGAGGATGTCAGACTCCCAGAACTGGAGTGACAGGCAGTTCCAAGCTGCCATCTGGGTGCTGGGAATTAAATCCAGGTCCTCTGGCAAGAGCAACCAGTGCTCTTCACCACTGAACCATCCCTCCAGCCCCCAACCATAGGTTGTTCTAAAGATGAAACAACTCCATACCGTAAGGAAGAGCCTTAAGACAGAAAGTAAACAACTCAAAATAACTTCTGACCCTAAGTCCTTCTCTCCCCAAGAGACAAGACAAGCTGCAAAGACTCTTAGACCAGCCACGCTGCCCAGACCAACTGAGCCACTGGGATAGGACACCCTCCAACCTGCTGAGCCGCCTGCAGGCTGTGCAGTGTGCTCCAGGTTCCCAGCGTTGTGAGCTGTCACCCGTGCTGGGGTGGACCTTTGGTGATGCAGCTGTCTGTAAGTCATTTCTGCTCCTCTAAGTGACCTCTCACCCAATAAAACTCATCAGTTCACCCAGTTGGACTTTAGTGCTGTCCGTACGTTGTTCTAGTTCTGGGGTGAGCAAACATTTGCACACTTCTCCCCAGGAATAGTATTACACAATACTCCAACTACCTGAATGGCTCACTTCCTCTCTCCTTTTGTATTTGGACTCAAACAGAAGCCCAAAGGTGAGTCTGGACTTACATCTTCCCCTAAGCCTTCCATATAAGCAGATCCCCATTTCACTATCTTATCTAGTACCATAATAATGCCCCGTTCTGTTACTCTACAAAGATGGGCCCTTATTTTAATTCTGTATCGACTGTCTCCTTGATTAGACCTTGAAGTCCGTAAGGACAGCTGGGAGTATCTTGTTCAAGAGTGCAGCTCCAAGCCTGGCATGATAGTACACACCTTTAATCCCAGCACTAAGGAGGCAAAGGCAGGCAGGCAGATTTCTGTGCGTTCAAGGTCAGCCTGATCTAGATAGTGAGTTCTAGGACAACCAGGGCTATGAAGACTGTCTCAAAAAAAAAAAAAAAATGGCAGAACTAAGTGTTGGTATTTATTATAGGCATCCCTGATTATGCACCACCACCCCCAAAATCATTATATTTTAGCCAGTGGTGGCACATGCCTTTAATCCTAGCACTCGAAAGGCAGAAGCACATAGATCTCTGTGAGTTCCAGGCCAGCCTGGTCTATAGAACTAGTTCCGGGAGAGCCAAGGCTATACAGAGAAACATTGTCTCAAAAAATAAAAAATAAAAGACAAAGAAAGACAAAAAGGAAAAAAGACAAGAGATATGCTTTAAGAACAAGAAATAAAAGAAGGAAAGAAGGGGAGAGAAGAGAAAGAAGGAGAGAAAAAAGGAACAGTCTCAATTCATTCTATGAGGCCAGTTAAACCCTAATGACAAAACCAGACAAAGAGAAGACAAGCTACAAACCAATATCCCTTATAAATGCAGATTCAAGATTGCTCAAAATATATCAGCAAGGTGTAGTGGTGATGTCTATGGCCCACACTTGTAATCCCAGCATTCAGGAGCCTGAGGCAGAACCGCTATGAGTTCAAGGCTAGAGTAGGGTACTTAGTGAGTTCCAAGCTAGGACAGGCTACAACCTAAGGCTCTGTTCCCCAAATAAACAAAGTCAGGTGGAGCAGTAATTCCATCACTCGAGAGGTAGAGGCAGGAGGTTCAGGGGTTGACGGTCAGCCTAACGTACATAGCAAGTTCAAGGTCAGCCTGGGTTCCATCAAACAAACAAGGGAATAAGACTTGTATATTGAAATGTATAAACCACTGTACAAAGAAACTAAAGATTAAATTCATAGATCAAAGACAACATGGCTATTAATTGTTCGTTCTTGCTGGGCATACTGACACAACTATAATCTTTGCATTCAGGAGGCTGAGACAAGAGGACGATGAGCCAGCCTGGCTACAGGTGGAATACTGAAATGGTCAACCTTGATTGTCAACCTGACTGAATCTGAAAACAACTAAGAGACAGACCTCTGCGTGGATCTATGAAGAATTAACTAAAGGAGAGAAACTTACTCCAGAGTAGGCGGCACCTTCTGTGAGCCAAGACAGAAAAGGTCCAAGGGAGCCGGGCAGTAGTGGCACACACCTGTAATCCTAGCATTGAGGAGGCAGAGCCAGGCGGATCTCTCTGAGTTTGAGGCCAGCCTGGTCTACAGAGTGAGTTCCAGGATAGGCGGGACTACACAGAGAAACCCTGTCTCGAAGGAAAAGAAAGGAAACGTCCAAGGGAAAAGCAGTATTGCTTGCTTGCCGTCACTTCTTGCTGATACCTGCATTCTATCCCATTATGTCTGGCTACCACCTTTTGTTGCTTCTTTGCCCTCCAAACAGACTGAAGATCAGCATCTCTCTAGGAACCCTCCAGGCTGTCAGTACCAAATCGTGACTGTTAAGACATCCAGCCTTGCAGACCGAGCAGCTACTAGGCTCTCAGTCTCTGCATCATGTAGAGAACTATTAATGGACTATCTAGACCATATTGTGTAAGCCAATTTAATAAATCCCCTTGTAATTTTTTGTTATTGTTGTTGGGGGTGATGTTTTGTTTTGTTTTTTTCAAGACAGGGCTTTTCTGTGTAGCCCTGGCTATCCTGGAACTCAATCTATAAGACCAGGCTGGCCTTGAACTTAGAGCTCTGCCTGCCTCTGCTTCTGGGCACCACCACTGCCTGGCTAATCCAGCTCTTTTGAGGTGGGAAGATCCACCTTTGATCTGGACCACACCTTCTGCTGCTAACCTATATAAAGGACACGAAAGAAGTAAGCTTGCTCTCTCTTTCCTGCTTGCTCTCACTCTATTAGCAAGTCCATTCCTTCACTGGCATTAAAGCCTACCTCAACAGTATCTTGGTGTACACTGAAGACCAGCTGAGACATCCAGCTCTACAGGCTGAACAACTGCTAGATTCCTGGACCTCCCATGGGTAGCCATTGTTGGACTAGCTGGACCACACACAGCCTGTAAGCCACTCTAGAGAACCCTGAATAACACAAGTATCTTTCAGAAATAGCTCTGGATCAACTGGATCTCTACATACAAATGTATAAATTTGAACCAGGTATAGTTAGTATGTGTAATCCCAGCTACTCAGTAGACTGAGACAAGAAGCTCAATGCCAGTTCAAGGCCATGAGGAACTACATAGTAAATTGCAAGCCAGCCTGGGCTGCAGAATTCCTTGTCTCAAAACAAGTGAGTAGAGCCTGGTGATGTATGGCTATAATGCCAGCACGTGGGAAACAGAGACAGGAAGATCAAGAGTTCAAAGCCAGGCTCAGCTACATAGTGAGTTCAAGGCCAACCCAGGCTACATGAGGCCTTTTTTCTGAAAAAAAATAAAAATTTGAGGCCAGCCTATGAAATTTAGAAAGATTCTTTTCTTTTTGGTTTTGTTTTGGTTTTCGAGACAGGGTTTCTCTGTGTAGCTTTGAAGCCTGTCCTGGAACTCGCTTTGGAGACCAGGCTGGCCTCGAACTCACAGAGATCCGCCTGCCTCTGCCTCCTGAGTGCTGGGATTAAAGGCGTGCACCACCACCGCCCGGCCACAAGATTCTATTTGGAAAAAAAAAAAAAAATGAGGTAGCTAGGGATAAGACTACAGATGTAGCTCAGTGTAAGAGCTCTCTACCATGCATAAGGCCTAAGTCTAATCCTCAGCATGAAGATCAACCAGGAGGAGAAATAATAACATGAGCACATGGTAGGTAACAACAACCCACGCACTCCACCACAGCCTCTATTTTTTTTTTTAACTTTTTAAATTTTTTCACCTCTAATTGGTTACAGGGGCCCTGAGAGTTCTTTCGCAACAACCTATCCACCTTCTCTAGTTCTCTAAACAATATACTATACTATAGCACAAAATGCCTTACCCAGATTGGAGAATCCATCCTGAAGGGACCATAACCGAGCCCACGGGACAGGACCAGGCTCCTCAGGTTCTTGGTCCTCAGGAATAGAACAGAGCTCCTGAGTGGACACCGTCTCTAAAGAGCTCAGCGTCCCAGAGCTGGAATGAGAGGACTGGCTGGAGGATGGCACTGTGCTGTTGGAGGAACTGGATGTGCCTTGAGACTGTGAAGAGAGGTCGTGCAGCTGAGACAAAGTGCCTTGGGACTGGGTGAAGCCGCCTTGGGACTGCGAACAGGCACCACTGCTGTGGGCCTTCGAGGAAGTGCTGCCGTGTGGCTGCTGGCTCTTCATATCCGACCTCAAAAACAAGAGCCCAACCATAAGGTGAGATTCAAGGAACAAGGCTTAAAATTCAAGAGTGAAGAACGGCTGCAGCGATGACTCAGCAGGAAAGAACACATACTACTCTTGTGCCCAGCACCCATGTCTGGCAGCTCAAGATTGCCTGTAACTCCAACTCCAGTGGATCTGAAGTCCTTCTTGGCCTCTGCAATCACCTGCTCTCGCATGTGCACACTCCCACACACCACATAACGTAATTAAAAATAAAATAAATCTTTACCCACAGGTAAGTGAGGAATGTGGATATCATTCAATGGTAGATGGTAGATCACTTACCGAACAAATGCAAAGTCCCAGGTTCCATGCCCAGTAGCACCAAACATACAAAGTGAAGAATGGGTATGCTAAGGGGCTGGAGAGACATTGCAGCGGTTAAGAAGAGCACTTGTCGCCGGGCCGTAGTGGCACAAGCCTTTAATCCCAGCACTCGGGAGGCAGAGCCAGGCGGATCTCTGTGAGTTCGAGGCTAGCCTGGGCTACAGAGCGAGATCCAGGACAGGCACCAAAACTACACAGAGAAACCCTGTCTCTAAAAAAAACAAAAAACCAAGAAGAGCACATGTTGCTCTCTTGAGTTCAGTTCCCAGCACCCACATCCAGGAGCACACAAATACTTGTAACTTCAGCTTTTGGAGAATACAATGCCCTCTGCTGGCCTCCATGCGCACTGCACATGACTTTAAAACAAAAAATTTTAAAGGAATAGGCATATTCACCTAAGAAAGGCAGGACCACTGATAAGTGAAAAGTGACCATAGCAAAATTCCAGGATTACGAATAGAATGTATCGGCCATTTACACAGCGCTATACCGCCTTTCCTTCATGCACAGAAGCTGAGAGTGGCTGGCTGCCTCCTATCCACTCCTTGCCACCCTACCCCACATATTTACTTAGTACCCTCTCCAGTTCCTGCAGAGCCTAGCAGCTCTAAGACTGAGTTCTCGGTAACATTTGGGAAGAATGAATCAAGGGTCTGGCATGATCACTAACATTCATAATACTCACTACGAAACTATTTCGCTCTGGCATTGAAGAGCCCAACTCTGTGCCTTCCTACCCATGTGTCCAGACCTGTTTCTGCTTGTTAAGTTACGGAAAGAGAATTTCCCCTCGAAGAGCATTTAAAAAAGGAAGAGTTGCCTGCACACAGCGCCGCCCCCTCGCACACACAACTAAGCAGACAAAGCGGAAGCTGCGGAGGGCCCCCTTGCATGAGACCCTGAGAGAACGCGTTTCGAATCCTCAAACACTCAAAAAAAAAAAAAAATTCCCGCTAAGACTCACCGCGAAAGAACACCTGGAGCCACAAACACCCTACCGCCGCAGCCAGTGGTGTGGCGCTAAATCTACCCATACAAACTCCACCCTCGGCCAATCAAAACGCCTTCCTCCTCGGCAGGACCAATAAGAAGGCACAAATGGTGGCTGCAACACGTAGCCTCAAGGCTTCCTGGGAGTTGGAGTTTAGGATGCAGAACGGGACTCCGCATCCTGGTTTCCCGCGGCTGATCCCGCCTCCTCGGCTCCTTAGCCAATCAGCAGCGAGTCACTCTTGATTCCTTTCCCTCGGGTCCGGCGACCCAGGCCAGGCAGGCGGCTGTCCGGATGTGGGGCTGCAGGGCCCGGGATTTGCTTTGCTTGTGGGAGGTGCGACTGGCTGGGTTCCTGGGAAGGAGACTGCTGAGCAGCAATGCTGCCTCGGGGAAGAGCAATGCGCGGCAGTGCTGGAACTGCGGCGGCAGCGCCGCGGGTGTGGAGAGTGGGGATGGGTTCTTCTGCGAACACTGCCGCGCCTTGCAGCCTCCTGACCCGACTCGGGACTACTTCAGCCTCATGAATTGGTACGCGCGGAGTGATGGGAGGGCGATCCCGAGAAGTTCGGTTGGCCGAGATGTTAGTAAAATTAAACAAGTGTTACCCTAGCGATCTTCACTTGGGTCAGCGCCGGCGGGCCTGTAATTTCCAGCCAGCTGGGAGACTGAGACAAGAAGACCACAGTTCAAGGCCAGTTTAGGCAACTTACCCAGACTGATTCAAAACAAGTTTAAAAAAAAAAAAAAAAAAAAAAAGATAAGTCTATAGGTCATTTGTATAATGTAGTACCTGCTGAAATTTTAGGAGTTTGCCTGAGAGGAAGAGGGAATCAAGTTACAGACTGGAAAGAAGTTGAGGATGGAGGCGGGGAACTAAAGGAAATAGAGGAGTGAACTTGCGGATGCCTCTAAGTTCATGGGAAGTGGAGGCCAGAAGTTCAGGAATTCAGAACTAGCCTCTGCTTTGACAAAGGCCCTGTTTTTAAACATCGGCAACAACACCAAAAGGAAACGGCACAAAGTTACAGTTTAGGGGGGTTTGAGGGGCGGGACTCCTGGAAAGGGGAAGTCCAGAGGTTGAACACTGAAGGGAGCAGAAAGGAGTGTTTGTTTTGTTTTGTTTTGTTTTTTTAAAAACATAGCCTCACCTTGTAGTCCTTCCCGGCCTAGAACTCACACACATTCACCTGCCTCTACCTCCCCATTGCTGGAATTAAAAGCATGCTGGACTAAGATAGGATCCCCAGTTGGAGCCCAACCACAAAAACAGGACACATCTTATCTCAAATATATAAATATTTTAAAGGAGAAAGTAAAAATAAAACAAGCCAGGTGAGTGTACTGTTCGGTGGTGGTGACCTTTAACCCCAGCACTCAGGAAGCAGAGGCAGGTGGATCTCTGTGAGTTCCAGCCAACCTGGTCTACAGAGCCGAGATCCAGGACAGCCAGAGCTACACAGAGAAATTGCTCAAAAAATAAAATAAACCAAGTGTGGTGGCATATGTCTGGAATCCCAGTATTCCGGGATGAAAGGAGAAAGGTCACAAGTTGGAGCCCTGTTTGAAAAATCAAAATTTTAATTCAGGCTCAAGGTTTGAGGGAGAGAGGCCAAGAAATGTTTGGCATGGTTTGTTTCCTCCTGCCTTTTCTTCTGGAGACTGGTACGGAAGTGTGAGCAGAGCTGAACTAATAAAGATTAGATTAAAGTGGGAGGGCCGTGTGTGGTCCACACCTGTGATCCCAGCCCTCCAGCCAGAAGCAAGAGAATCAATCCTACAGTCTGGGCTACACAGAGTCACAGTCTGACTCCCCCCAACATCACCTCTCCCCCCAAAAAGAAAGTAAAGTAAGTGCTTAATCCTTGCTTTGGCTCAGTGATACAACACTCCCTTTGCATTAGCAAGAATCTGAGTTCGAATTCCAATACTATGCTTTAAACAAAAAAAAAAGACCTGCTTCTAGATATTAATGGCTCAGTGTGGTAGCCTCTACCTATAATTCCAACTACTCAGGAAGCTGAAGAAGAAGGATCAAAATTTTCAACCCTGAGCAACACTCAACCTTTTTTTTTTTTTTAATTCAGGTGGTAAACTGGATTTATTGTCATACGTTTATAATCCTAGCACTTGAAGGGAAAAGGTGGGAAGATCCAGAGTTGTACGTTTCTCTTAGCTATTATAGCAAGTTTGAGGCCAGCCTGAGATACACAAGCTCTTTTTTTTTTTTTTTTTTTTTTTTTTTTTTTTTTTAATGTCAAGGCTCTAGGCCTGGTAACAGACCTGTAATCAGAGTGATCAGGGAGATGAAAGTAGGCTTTTTGGAAGACCTGCCTGAACTATAGAGTGACTTCAAAGTCAACTTGGGTACCTTAGTTAAGAAACTCTGTCTCAAAATAAAAAGTAAAAAGAGGTTTGGTGGGTGAAGGAGGGAAGGGAGTGACTTGGTGCTGAAGTCCTTGCCCAGCATGCAGGAGACCCTAGATCCAGTTTTTAACTGGGGAGTGGGGGGGGGGGGGCAATCAAGGGACATGCAGGTTGGGCAAGTGCTCTAAACTCTGGGACACATTTTCATCAGTCACTGAGTACTTACAATGGACCACACTAACCTTATCCCTTAATTTGTCAAGCTATTAATCTTCCAGTCACTTCAGGGTCTCTGCACTTACGTATTTCCATTCATGTCCCTTTTCTGATCTTTGGTCATTTGGTAGTAGCACCATTCAAGTTTCTTAAATGTCATACCTACGTTACCTATTCTGTTCCTGTTCTATTTTCCTTCATTACAGCTACCACGTCTTAAAAAATAACCTTTGTTTATGTTTATTACGTCTTCACCAAGAGCAGAACCAGACCACAGTAAACAACTCTAAATACTGTGCATGAATAACATCTAGTTTCTTTCCAGCCACCGATCCTTCAGGGTTGACGTCATGAAGCTTCAGCACAGGTACCAGCAACTACAACGTCTCGTCCACCCAGATTTCTTCAGCCAAAAGTCTCAGGTATTCACTGACCACCACTAAAATTCCCCATATATGTGTGCAACTGGGTGGGTGGCGGTGTTGATCTGGAAAGAGTTGAGCTGCTAGCTCCACCCTGTGGCAGATGCCTGCCCCTAGACAGCCAGGGCCCAGAGATGTCATTTCTTCACAGCTTTTATCTGACTTCCCACATAACTGAAAACCCATCCGTTGAAAATACAGACTACTCATCCAATGGCAGGTTCAAATTTCGGCTATACTCTTTAAATCCCTGCCCAATCACTGTATTATAGAAGTTTGGGAATCAAAGAGGACTGGTTCTTGTGGTAATAAAACTCTTTTTATCTCTGTGAACAGACTGAGAAACTCTTCTCAGAGAAGCATTCGACCCTGGTGAATGATGCCTATAAGACTCTTCAGGCTCCCCTGAGCAGGGGACTATACCTTGTAAGGTGATTTCCCAACCCATCTGTAAGTGACTTCCTCTGTATGAGACCTGGCCTAGTCCAGGAGGCTGATAATATTTAGCCTCAAAAGTACTACAGAAGAGAAAAGAAAAAGACTCTCTATACAAGTATAATTTTTGTAGTATTCTTTGTAAATCTATTTTGCTGGTTTCTGTTTCTTTTGAGACAGAATCTCACTGTCTAGCTCAGGCTGGCTTTAGGTTACTAATTCTCTTGCTTCACCTCACCCTTCTAGCTCCTTTGTACTTTTTTTTCTTCACTACTGGGCATTGAACCTATGCCTCATGCTAACTAAGTAAGTTCTCTGCCACCGAGTCATGGCTCCTGTCTGATAATTACTGGGTTTTTCTTTGGTTTGTTGGGGGAGGGGGAGCTGTGGTTTTTTTGTTGTTGTTGGTTGGGTTTTGAGTTTTTTTTTGTCGGGGGTTGGTTTTGGTTTTGGTTTTCTTTTTGGGTTGTTTTTTGTTTGTTTGTTTGTTTGTTTTGGGCAGCGGCGCCAGGGGTGCTTTGTTTTGAATCCACTGAACTGTATCCCCAGCTACCTTGTTACTTTTTGAAACAGGGTCTCACTCAGCTGCCCAGGCTGCACTTGACTTGTGATCTCTCTGCCTTGGCTTCTTGGGATACAACTGCACCACCAGGCCTGGATCCTTTTGTATATCTTAACTTCCCGGTTGCAGTGCTTTAACTATTTTATATAAATCTGATGATGGGATTACTTGGGGAGTTTTTTGCAAGAACATCTAGGCAATTTTAGAATTGAATAGAATGTTTAAAAACATTTTAACATCTGAGTAGAGGAGTGAGTGAGGTCCTGTACCAGCACGCTTATCTCAGTCCATACTTTCTTTATTACCAGGAAAGCTCAAGTTTTCCAGGCTGGACATGTGACTCAGTGGTAGAGTGCTTATTTAGCCTGTACTAAGCTCTGGGCTCCCTCTCCAAGCAGTGTTCACATTTTCTCCCATGAGCATCAGTGTATTCTAAACATGACCCTGATCTGTTTCATTTTCCTTGTTCTTCTCCCTAATAGCTAAAGCTCCAAGGAATAGAAATCCCCGAAGGGACCGATTTTGACACAGATGGTCGGTTCCTTGTGGAAATAATGGAAATCAATGAGAAACTTGCAGAGGCTCAAAGTGAGGCTGCCATGGAAGAGATAGAGTCCACAGTCAGAGGTAATAGGTGAGATTCTCACAAGTATCCTTCATTATTCTTAAGAGCACATGACTAGGTTACAGGAAAAATGGGTCGAAAAACATTGTTTGGCCCTCATCGTCATCCAGGGAGTTCTTTGTTTTCCGGTCATCTCTAGTGAGGAAAATGAGCCTCAGACGTTGGCAGAAATGCCTCCAATCACACAGAGATCGGTAGCCCAGCCAGCACTGAAACCCTGACCTTCTGGTCCCACCTGCTTTATTTTTCATTTCATTCCATAGTGTATCAATCAAGGTTCTCTAGAAAACCAATAGAGTATAGGTCTATTTATTTCATAAAATTGGCCCAAATGTGTGTGTGGAGGCTAGCCCAGAAACTGCAGGCAAGACCTGGGACAGTGAGGTGTTTGTGTGCACATCCGAGAGGACTCGATTTCAGTCCCCACAATTCCCACAAGTCGTCTCTGACTTCACACAGATGCTGTGGTGCGCTC